AACTCCTAGCCTCAAGAAATCTGCCTGCCTCAACCTCCCAAAGTGCTGAGATTACAGGTGTGAGCCACCGTGCCTGGCCCTGCAAGTATTTTTATTCCAGCTCTTTTGTCTTCCTTGGTGAACACTCCACTTACCACCCAGCACTGTAAAGAGAACCCAGGTTATCAATCAGGGTTCTCCAGAGAAACAGAATTAGGATAGACAGATAGATAAATGATAGACAAACAGACAGATACATATCAGTTACCGATACACATACGCGCACACACACATACACAATTATTACTATTATTATTATTTTGAGACAGAGTCTAGCTCTGTCACCCAAGTTGGAGTGTAGTGGCGTGATCTCGGCTCACTGCAACCTCCCCTTCCTGGGTTCAAACCTCCTTCTTCAGCCTCCTGAGTAGCTGGGACTACAGGCATGTGCCACCAGGCCCAACTAATTTTTGTATTTTTAGTAGAGACGGGGTTTCACTATGTTGGCCAGACTGGTCTCGAACTCCTGACCTCGTGATCTGCCTGCCTCAGCCTCCCAAAGTGCTGGATTACAAGCGTGAGCCACCGTGCCCACCATATATATATATATATATATATATATATTTATTTTTTTATATTTATTGTTTTTTTTTTTTTTTTGAGATGGAGTTTCATTCTTGTTGCCCAGCCTAGAGTGCAATGGTGCCATCTCAGCCCACTGCAACCTCCGCTTCCCAGGTTCAAGCAACTCTCCTGCCTCAGCCTCCCCAGTAGCTGGAATTACAAGCATGCAGCACTATGCCTGGCTAATTTTGTATTTTTAGTAGAGATGGGGTTTCTCCATGTTGGTCAGGCTGGTCTTGAATTCCCGACCTCACGTGATCCGCCACCTCGGCCTTCCAAAGTGCTGGGATTACAGGCATGAGGCATTGTGCCTGGCCTATTATTATTATTTTAACAGGGCCTAGCTCTGTTGCCCAGGCTGGAGTGCAGTGGCATGATCTCCCCTCATTGCAAACTCCGCCTCCTGGGATCAAGCCATTCTCCAGCTTCAGCTTCCCAAGTAGCTGGGACCATAGGCATGCACCACCACACCTGGCTAATTTTTGTATTTTTTGTAGAAATGCGGTCTTGATATGTTGCCCAGGCTGGTCTCAAACTCCTGGGCTCAAGTGATCCTCCCACCTCAGCCTCCCAAAGTGCTGGGATTATAGGCAAGAGCCACTGCACTCGGCCTGTGACTGACTTATTTGACTTAAGATAAGGTTCTCAAGGTTCATCCATGGTGTAGTAGGTGTCAGAATTTCCCTCCTTTAAGGCTGAATATTCCACATGTGTAGATGCCACCTTTGGCTCTATCCCTCCATAGACACTGGGGCTGCTGCCACCTTCTGGCTCTGGTGAATAACATTGCTATGAACATGGATATACACAGATACCTGTTGGAGTCCCTACTTCCACTTCTTTTTGGAATATACTGGGAAGCAGGATTGCTGGATCATATGGTGATGGCAGCCACACTATTTTACATCCCAACAGCAGTGCACAAATGTTTTTCCATATTCTTGCTAGCACTTTTATTTTCTTTTTTCATTTTTTTTTTTTTTTTGAAAGACAGTCTCACTCTGTTGCCCAGGCTGAAGTACAGCAATGCGATCTTGGCTCACTGCAACCTCCGCCTCCTGGGTTCCAGTGATTCTCCTGCCTCAACCTCCTGAGTATCGGGGACTAAGGCACCCGCCACCACACCCAGCTAATTTTTGTATTTTGGTAGAGAAGGAGTTTCACCATGTTGGCCAAGCTGTTCTTGAGCTCCTGACCTCAAGTGATCCGCCTGCCTCAGCCTCCCAAAGTGCTGAGATCACAGGTGTGAGACACCGTGTCCCGCCTCAACACTTATTTTCTATTTATTTATTTATTTTTGAGACAGGGTCTCGCTCTGTTGCCCAGGCTGGAATGCAGTGATGTGATCTTGGCTCACTGAAACCTCTGCCTCCTGGGTTTAAGTGATTCTTGTGCCTCAGCCTCCCCACTAGCTGGGATTATAGGCACCCGTCACCACGCCCTGCTAATTTTTTGTATTTTAATAGAGACAGTGTTTCATCAAGTTGCCCAGTCTGATCTCAAACTCCTGACCTCAACTGATTCGCCCGCCTCGGCCTCCCAAGAGGGAGGCACACCTGCCGAGATTACAGGTGTGCATCACTGCACCCAGCCATTTTCTCTATCTGTCTATTTATTTATGTGAGACAGAGTCTTGCTCTGTTGCCAGGCTAGAGTGGAGTGGTGTGATCTTGGCTCACCGCAACCTCCACCTCCCAGGTTCAAGTGATTCTCCTGCCTCAGCCTCCTGAGTAGGTGGGATTACAGGCAGGCGCCACCACGCCCAGCTAATTTTTTTTTGTATTTTTAGTAGAGACGGGGTTTCACCATGTTGGCCAGGATGGTCTCGATCTCTTGACCTCGTGATCTGCCCGCCTCAGCCTCCCAAAGTGCTGAGATTACAGGCGGGAGCCACCGTGCCCGGCCCCATTTTCTCTCTTTTTAATAGTAACCATCTTAATGGGTATGAGGTATAAATGTTTGGTTTCAAAAATAGATTTTCAAAGTCCTTTTATATTTATTCGTTTTGCTGTGTGCTTGATAGTCCTTTGCTCTGCAGTCCCTCGCCCCTCAAAACAGACACTACCATAAAATAAAGACTTTGGGGGTATTGGCCAGGCGCAGTGGCTCATGCCTGTAATCCCAGCACTTTGGGAGTCTGAGATGGGCGGATCACAAGGTCAGGAGATCGAGACCATCCTGACTAATATGGTGAAACTCCGTCTCTACTAAAAATACAAAAATTAGCCGGGCGCGGTGGTGGGAGCCTGTAGTCCCAGCTACTCCGGAGGCTGAGGCAGGAGAATGGCGTGAACCTGGGAGGCGGAGCTTGCAGTGAGCTGAGATCACCCCACTGCACTCCAGACTGGGCAACAGAGTGAGACTCCATCTCAAAAAAAGAAAGAAAGAAAGAAAGAAAGAAAGAACTTATGGAGGCCAGGTGTGGTGGCTCACGCCTGTAATCCCAGCACTCTGGTAGGCGGAGGCAGGCAGATCATGAGGTCAGGAGATCAAGACCATCCTGGTTAACATGGTGAAACCCCATCTCTACTAAAAATACAAAAATTAGCCAGGCGTGGTGGCACGAACCTGTAGTCCCAGCTACTTGGGAGGCTGAGGCATGAGAAACATGCAAAAAAAAAAAAAAAAAGAAATTATGGATTTATTTGATAATTTCAGTTTCTACTGACTCAGCAGAAAAGAGTCTCCAAATTGAATCTTTTTTTTTTGTGGCACGAACTCAGTCCCAGCTACTTGGGAGGCTGAGGCATGAAATACAAAAAAAAAAAAAAAAGAAATTATGGATTTATTTGATAATTTCAGTTTCTACTGACTCAGCAGAAAAGAGTCTCCAAATTGAATCTTTTTTTTTTTTTTTTTTTTTTTTTTTTTTTTGAGACAGAGTCTTTTTTTTTTTTTTTGAGACGGAGTCTTGCTCTGTCACCCAGGCTGGAGTACAGGGGCAGGATCTCAGCTCACTGCAACCACCACCTCCAGGGTTCAAGCGATTCTCCTGCCTTAGCCTCCCGAGTAGCTGGGATTACAGGCATGAGCCACCACGCCCAGCTAATTTTGTATTTTTAGTAGAGACATTATTTCTCCATGTTGCTCAGACTGGTCTCGAACTCCAGACCTCAGGTGATCCACCCACCTCCGCCTTCCAAAGGGCTGGGATTACAGGTGTAAGCCATCACGCCCTGCGGAACCAATTTTTAAAAGAAAAGTACAAGCCGAGTGCAGTGGCTTATGCCTGTAATGTCAGAGCTTTGGGAGGTGAAGGCAGGAGGATTGCTTGAATTTGAGTGATCAGAACAGGAATATGAGACCAGCCTGGGCAATACAGCAAGATTGCATCTCCGAAAACAAAAAAGAAGTACAGGCCTGGTGTGGTGGCTCACACCTGTAATCCCAGCACTTTGGGAGGCCGAGGCAGGCGGATCACGAGGTCAGCAGATCGAGACCATCCTGGCTAACATGGTGAAACCCAGTCTCTTAAGAAATACAAAAAATTAGCTGGGAATGGTGGCGGTGCCTGTAGTCCCAGCTACTCCGGAGGCTGAGGCAGGAGAATGGTGTGAACCCAGGAGGCGGAGTTTGCAGTGAGCCAAGATCACGCCACTGCACTCCAGCCTGGGCAACAGAGCAAGACTCCCTCTCAAAAAAAAAAAAAAAAAGTATAATGACTTAAGAAAGACTGTGTAATTGGACATTACGGTCAATAGAATACAAATTATGTGACTTTTTAATAACACAATTAGTAACTTTGCTGAAAAGAAGACAAGAAAACAATTTTTATGGAAGAAATATATAATAATTTAGAAATTATGAAGTCTTCACTAAGCAATGCTGCCTGCCCATCACCACAGCAGGTGGACATGCCCAGCAGCGACTCACTTCAGTCATCTCTAATGTTTTGCTGACTTCCGGTCAGATAAAAGCCATCGCTTTATGGATGTCCTTTTTTTTTTTTTTTTTTTTTTTTTTTGAGATGGAGTCTCGCTCTGTTGCCCAGGCTGGAGTGCAGTGGCACGAGCTTGGCTCACTGCAAGCTCTGCCTCCCGGGTTCAGGTCATTCTCCTGCCTCAGCCTCCCGAGTAGCTGGGACTACAGGCGCCTGCCACCACGCCCGGCTAATTTTTTGTATTTTTAGTGGAGAGGGGGTTTCACCGTGTTAACCAGGATGGTCTCGATCTTCTGACCTCGTGATCCGCCCGCCTCGGCCTCCCAAAGTGCTGGGATTACAGGCGTGAGCCACCACGCCCGGCCTAATTTTGTTTTTTTATTAGATACTGGGTTTCGCCATGTTGGCCAGGCTGGTCTCGAACGCCTGACCTCAAATGATCCGCCCGCCTCGGCCTCCCAAAGTGCTGGGATTACAGGCCTGAGCCACCACCGCACTTGGCCGTGACTGCTTTTAAATGCTTGCACTTCGACGGAAGACGTTGACCGGGGCCTCCCGATGCCAGGGCCGGGCTGCCACCCCCTCCCGCCCCAGACAGCAGGACTGGGCTCTGAGCCGAGGGCAGGAGCAGCTGGCGGCTGGCAGCGCGACCGTGGGACCTACTGTGAGCCGCCACGGCCCTCCTTGACTCGCCGTGACCCATCGTGATCCGCTGTGATCCTCCTTAAACTGCCGTGACCCACTGTCACCCATCGTGACCCGCCGTAACTCTGGGGTTGTTGGCTGCTTGCTGCCCGAGCCTGGGCGTCCCCGTGGGCGCGGGTGACAGCGCATGGGTTTGGGACGACAACCCGAGCTCCTCATCGCGGCCGGAATCCAGGCGGCTGCAGAGGGAGGTCTGCGAATTCGGGGGTGGAACCCCGGGAGGGAAGGGGAGCCGAGGGAGACGCCGCAGCGTGAGCCCGCCTGGCCCCAGCGCCCACGAGGCTCCACCTGACGCAGTGGGCAGCCCGTGCGGCGCTGCCTTCGGCCCTCGCCTCGTGTGCTCCAGCCGCCCCAAACAGGCCTGGGCCCAGCGCCCGGCGGGCTAAGGAAGCTGCGGCTCGGCACCTCCCCCGGGGACCCTCCGCGCTCAGCCGGCTGGCGAGACAGCGCTTCCCAAGCGGCTTTGCGGCCGCGGACTCCAAGTCCCAGCAGCGCCCGGGACGCCGCGCGCCTCCGGGACTCCATTTCCCAGAGTGCCCCGCCCCAGCTTCCCCGACCCCGCCCCCCACCTGGCGTCGCGCGTACCCGGAGCACACCCGGCCGGAAGCCGCTGTAGGGGAGCCTGCGGTGGGGCTGGACGCAGGTGAGGTGGTACAGGAGTCAGCCTCACCCTGGGCCCTTGATGCTCCGTGAGAGTCAGGGAACGCTGTAGGGGTCTGGGATCGAGGGGCGTGGGGGCAGCCTAGGGCCGTGGTAAGGGGTCCGGTTGCGGTGAGATCTCCTCGCGTGCTTGGGAGCCGCGCGATGCCTGCGCAGGGCCCCTTCCCGTAAGGGCTGGTCCTGGGGCCCTGCCACGGAGCCCGAGCAGGTTTTCGGCTCCCAGTATAGGATCCTTGGGGGTGGCTGCGCCCCAAGGCCTGTCCTGCCCTGGAGGAATCTGGCTGGCCAGGGCTCTCCAGGACCAGCCAGCCTCGAGTGGGCGTGGGCTGCACACAGGCGCCGCCTCGTGCCTGTCCCTAGCATGCGGGCTTTGGCTGCAAGCCGAGTTAACGACTTGCGCCAGGAGCCCCAGTCCCAAGGTTGTCTGCCTCCCCTCTTATCAGCCAGAGGGGAGAAGAATGTACCTTTTATCGGCCCAGTGGGGGGTCGTGGGTTGGGACCAGCTGCTCTGGGCTGGGTGGTAGCTCAGGACCCCTGAGTAGGCTGAGAGCTCCCTGGGGAACAGGGCTGCGACAAGGGGTTGCCTCTGTCCAGCTGGGTCTTTCTGGTTGCCAGTGGACTATGTCCCCACCCTGAGGGCCTCACTCTGTGCCAGTTGCCACAGAAGAGGGGGGCTCCAAAAGATGGGAGCATAATGGCCTCAGCCTCCCACAATTTGACACTACAGGTGCAACTGACATGGGTGAACCCCAGGGGTCCATGCGGATTCTAGTGACAGGGGGCTCTGGGCTGGTAGGCAAAGCCATCCAGAAGGTGGTAGCAGATGGAGCTGGACTTCCTGGAGAGGACTGGGTGTTTGTCTCCTCCAAAGACGCCGATCTCACGTGAGTGAGCCCATCCCGAGATCAGCCCTCCTCCCCATCCTACCCCCAACCCCAGAACTAAGAGCTCCAGGCTGGGCCTGTTCCTGAGTCTAGCAGTAGCTGTGTGTCTGGGTCCTTCCTGCTAGGTGGCTGGCCTGGCCTGGGTGTGCTTGGCTGTGTTCCTGGACAAACACCCTCCCATCTCTTCCCGGAAGCCTGCGCCCTCACACCAGCCAGGCCCTGGGGCCACCCTCCCTTTTGACTGTTCCTCCTGCCATAGTCCCACCCAGTCCCTGCACTCAGCACCCAAACCTGGAGTGCTGGTTCCCTCCAGAGCCTCCTGACAGCCTGGCTCCCCACAGGGATACAGCACAGACCCGCGCCCTGTTTGAGAAGGTCCGACCCTCACATGTCATCCATCTTGCTGCAATGGTGGGGGGCCTGTTCCGGAATATCAAATACAATTTGGACTTCTGGGTAAGTGAGGGTGGCCCCAGCAAGCACTGGAAACCAGGATCCCAGGTTCTGGGAACTTCCTGGCGGCCTTCCCACTCTCACAGGCCCACGTTCCCACCCCAGGAAGTCCCTGAGGATCAGGGCTTGGCACAGCCTCGTGGGGGCAGCCCCCGAGGGAGCCCTAGTCACTCACACTTGGTACTGTGGACAGAGGGGCAATGCAGGTGGGCCTGGAGGCACTTGGCCCAGAAGGAAAAGCCGTGGAGCTGACCTGCAGCATTGGGAAGCTGAAAGGAGCCAGAGGCCACGTGGGACTGGGAGCTGGTTCCTGCCCCCTGAGTCCCCAGGGCCTCTGGAGCCTCTGGCTCCCAGGACTGTGCTGGCCCAGCTCCCCTGAGCTGGGCCCACCGCACACTCTGGGGTGCAGGGGTTGTAAACAGAGCTCTGTGCATCTGCTGCCTGTGCCTGGGGGAAGGGGGCGTGGTGTAAGGGCCCTGCCATGGCTAGCTGTGTCTGGGAGGGTTGACCCCACAGGTCTGTAGGCAGCAGCCTTGCCTTAGCTGGCTTTGCTAAGTGTAGGAGGCACTAGGGTCAGCAGAGGCTCAGACCAGATTCTGCTCAAGAGCCCTGTCACCCCAGAGCCCTCCTTGTTGGTGTCTCGGCCTTCCCAGCAGGCTGCCTGGCCACCACCTCTCCCTTCTCCCAAGACCAGTCCCAGTGCTCCAGCCATGCCATGTCTAGTTCATGCACAGGAAGTGGGGCTTGCAGGGGGCACCTGGCAAGGGCAGGCTTCATTAATCCTGCGAGGTAGAGCCAGATGGGAGCTCCTCCAGGGTGGTGAAGTAGACTGCCCCGTTCCCCATGTAGTGGGAGCCCCAGCCCAGCCCAGGGCCAGACTGGGCTCCTTCCCAGCCTCCACTACCTGCCCTGACCTCAGCAGCCTCCTGTGTGGGGTCCATCCCTGAGCTGGGGGTGTGGTTTTCTCCTCACACTGGAAGGCAGAGCCAGCCCCTCCTCCAGCCTTGGTGGGGCTGGAGAGCAGTGGTGTCTGTAAGCCCAGAGGCTTCGCCTTGTCCCGAAAGGGTTAGGATGGGCAGGTTTGGGTCCTACCATGGCTGAAGGGCCACTTCTGCATCTGGAGGAGCAGGTAAGGGCTAGGATCTGAGCTGGGGAGCCTGATCGGTCCCCACCTCACCCCTGCAGAGGAAAAATGTGCACATCAACGACAACGTCCTGCACTCGGCCTTCGAGGTGGGCGCCTGCAAGGTGGTGTCCTGCCTGTCCACTTGTATCTTCCCTGACAAGACGACCTACCCGATAGATGAGACCATGGTGAGGGGCGGGGCCTGGCTGTGGGCGGGGCTGGGGAGCCTGTGGGCGGGGCCAGAAAGTAGTGGCCTCTGCCTCTCCCGCCCCCGCAGATCCACAATGGGCCGCCCCACAGCAGCAATTTTGGGTACTCGTATGCCAAGAGGATGATCGACGTGCAGAACAGGTCCTCACACCCATCCTGCTGAGGCCCAGCCAGGAGTGGGGGAGAGGGCCCCAGGGGCGGGTGGGGCCGGCCGGTGGGGTCTTCGTGCCAGCCTCAGTAAGAGGCCAGCGGCAGCCTCGGGTGGGATCGCGGGCCCAGGACGAGGGCAGGAGACACTGTGCCTCCGCAGGGCCTACTTCCAGCAGTACGGCTGCACCTTCACCGCTGTCATCCCCACCAACGTCTTTGGGCCCCACGACAACTTCAACATCGAGGATGGCCATGTGCTGCCTGGCCTCATCCACAAGGTGCACCTGGCCAAGAGTGAGTGCGTCTGCCCAACGGGGTTCCCGGGCTCAACTCGAGAGGAGGTGACCCATTGCCTCTGACACCTGCTCCCTCCCTGAATCTGCAGGCAGCGGCTCGGCCCTGACGGTATGGGGTACCGGGAAGCCGCGGAGGCAGTTCATATACTCGCTGGTGCGTAAAGGAAGGCATAGCTCTCCCCAGAGAACCTGCCCCATTGAGCCCTGGGCTTTCCCCTGCTGGGCTGTCGGGGAGGCGGTGCAGGAGGGAGTCTCGGACCAGGAGACAGTCTGGACTGAGCTCCGAGAGGAACCATCTCTGGTTCTCGTGGAGGCCCCATAGCCTCCTGTTTCCAGGAGTCACTGGTGTAGCTCTGAGCTCCGAGGGAGAAAGGAGGGACCCCTGGTCCCTAGGCTGAGCCCCCACTGAACAAGGACAACAGTATGAACTCCCCGGCACAGGTGTTTGGGACAGGGGACCTGTGGTTATACCCATGGTCTCTTGACCCTGCCTGTCTGACCTGTAGGACCTGGCCCAGCTCTTTATCTGGGTCCTGCGGGAGTACAATGAAGTGGAGCCCATCATCCTCTCAGGTGGGCACCTCAGCCCTCAGCCCCCTTCCTCCATGGTGGGACAGGATCCAACGCCGTCCTGGGAGGCTGGCTGAGGGGTGGGAGCAGGAATATTCATGAGCAGTTGGGGGGCAGCAAGGGGAGGCCTGACCCGGTGGCTCCCCACAGTGGGCGAGGAAGATGAGGTCTCCATCAAGGAGGCAGCCGAGGCGGTGGTGGAGGCCATGGACTTCCATGGGGAGGTCACCGTATCCTCTGGCTCCAGTGCTGGGGGTTGGGCGGGGGCCCCTTGGCAGGCTCCATGGCCTCCCGGCATAGGGCCAGCGTGGGTGGGACACTGTGGAGGGAGGATACCCACCCTGGCAGGCGGAGGAGCTCTGCTGTGGCTCCCTGGGAATGGCAGAGGTTCAAGGACAAGCTGCAGGGGCTGGGAGTGGAGGTGCTCTTCTCGCTGTGGCCTTGACAAAGCATGCAGTTTGATACAACCAAGTCGGATGGGCAGTTTAAGAAGACAGCCAGTAACAGCAAGCTGAGGACCTACCTGCCTGACTTCCGGTTCACACCTTTCAAGCAGGGTGAGCCCTGACCCCATAGCCCTCCACTTGGTGGCCCCCACACCTGCTGGCCTGCCCCAGCCTCCTTCATGCTCCCTACCAGGGCAGAGGTGAGACGCCCCCCTCAGAGCCTATACTGCCCTGGAGGTGGGACACCAAAGCTCAGAGGGGTGACTTCCCTGTCCCTGGGACTCCCCCCACTTCCTCCCATGTGGCCCTGGCCCTCCCTGCCCATGGCCCTCACCTGCCCGCCTCTGCAGCGGTGAAGGAGACCTGTGCTTGGTTCACTGACAACTACGAGCAGGCCCGGAAATGAAGCTGGAAGGCAGAAGCAGGTGCCAGCGGACCATCGGCTGGCAGAGCCACCACCCATCAACCCTGCCAGGAGCTGAGGGCACCACCTGGGCCCACATTCCGTCCGCTCTGCAGCCCCAAGCATCTATCCAGTGGGGCCCCCATTCACATCAGTCCTCAGGGAAACCAGGACCCGGGCAGGCCCGGTGCTTTGCTCCCCACACTGGCCCCTGGCCTTGCGTGTGTCCATTCTGATCCTGTGTCCCACTCCCTGGGAGCCAATAAAGTGCATTTTCACAGGCCTGGGCTTGGCAGCTCTGTGCTGAGCCATGCCCCACACCCAGGTACTGCCCCCGAGCCTGGCCAGCCCTGGTACCCACTGTCCCCCTAGCTTGCTGTTCAGCCCTCAGAGCTGGTGACTCCCTGGGGTGGAAAGGCTGCAGAAGCTGGAGATGGGAAGGCACGCATGTGGGCAGGCAGCAGGCAGGCAGCAATGAGACTGGCGTGGACAAGGATGTGCAGGGCAGGGCCAGTCCTAGCCCCTCCACACGTGGCCACCTGCAGGCCTCAGTAACTTGAGCTCACTAGGGCCTCCCGGCCTCAGCCTGAGAGCTCTGGGGACACTGGTCTAGTGGGCCGGAAACATCTAGTGAGCCAGCCAAGCCGGGCCCACGGATGGATCTGAGGGCAGGCTGATGGTTCCGTGGCTCAGGCTTCTCCTGGCCTGGCCCCTCGTCTCTGTGGCTCTCAGGCTTGGGTGTGGGTCCCCACCTGGCCTGTCCCATGGAAAGGGACAGCTGCCTGCTGGACAGGTCAGCTCCAGCTGCCAGAGGTGGGGTGTCATTTCTCCCCCCCCATTCTCAGAGCGGAGGCAGCAAAGTCCAGAATGGTTCCCGGGACGGTGCCTCACCCAGGCAGGGTGGTGCTGGGGTATGGACCAGGAGCACTTTGCCCGTCACCCCCTTTCTCAGCGCTTTGTACAGAGGGGGCCTCTAGGCTAGAACCCTCTGGTCCTCCACGCCCAGGACCCAGACACCCTCCCTGGCTCCTGGCCCAACCCTGGGCCTGCCTCTTCTCAGGGTCCCTCTCCTGGGCGCCCTGTGCTGTCTTCACGCACAAGATGCCTTCTGGCTGCAGGTAGGGCTTCCTGCTTCACTTCTTCCTTTGTTAATTTGGGCAGCACTAGTGTGTCCTCCCTGTCCCGGCACTGAGTCCAGACCTGTGTCCTGTACCCAGCCAACCACTCACCTTATCTGTCACTGCCCCTTTGTGTCAGGCAAGCCAAGGTGTCCTCTAGGCCTCCCCTGAGACTGGCCTCTTGGATCAAGGCCTCCCCACCTTTTAGGCCTCAGCTGAGGTGGCCCAGCCTCCAAACACCTTCCCTGACAGCACCATCTCAGCCCCTCTCCGAGCATCCACCCTGCCCTGTTGGGATTGTTTGTCTGCAAACTTCTGGGAGTCCCACCTCAACCCCCACCCCTCATGCCAACATCCCAGGACCTGGAGCTCCAGGAGGTGGGTTGGCCTCGTTCACAGTGTATCCCCTGGCACCAGCCCTTTGTGGATAAAGGCTCTGCCCATGTCGGGGTTCAGGAAAGGTCTCCCGGAGAGGGTGGTGCCTGTGTGGCCACTTGGATCCGCCAGGTGAGGAACAGTGGGAAGAAGCCCAGCCAAGAGCAGAGGTGCCCTGGACACAAGCCATGGGTGGCTGGGTGTCCAGGTCAGCTGAGGGCTCCCAACAGATCTCAGAAGCCTGGCCCAGCATGGGATGGAGAAGCCGAACAGGACTGGGCCTTCTTTTACTCACTGTGACCCTGGGCACTCAGCCAGCAACCCTCCTTCACCTCGACTCGGTGTACTTGTTTATGATGAGCTTTGTCCTTATGTATGATGGCATGGCGCTGGATGCGGAACTCCGGCCCCTTTCACCTCCCCATAGCCTCGGTCCCAAGCCATCACTGGCCCAGGGGGCCTGGGAGAAAATCCAGGGGGTCTGTGTGGGAAGGGGCTGGCAGGATCCAAGGTGGCAGGAGAGACAGCTGCTGACACTGTGTGCTGGTGCAAAGTGTCCACCACCCACATTTCTCGGCCGCGGTGGCCGAAGCACCCTCGTGGCTTTCTGTCCCTCTCTACGTCACTTGCTTGTGCTGACTGTAGTCTGTCTACACAACCAACAAGCAGGGCTGCAGGGTGGGGTCCAGTCTGTCCCATCTGCTGCTGTGGGGTGGCCTTGCCCAGGCCCAGAGCAGGGCCCAGAGGCTGCAGCTGCACAGTAAATGTTGAATCAATGAGAGGATTTCATGACTGAAGAGCTTAGAAAATGTCAAAGGCTTCAGAAGAAAATAACATCGGTAACATACAGCCTTAGATTAGATGATGAAAACAAAACCGCACTCAGATCTTCAAGCCTTATTTTCCTTGTGTCATTAAAAATGACGCCCCCCCCTTCGCGACTGTCCCCTCCCCTTCCCGTCGATCTCAGGCCCCTGGACCCGGCCAGCTCTCCGTGACCTGGGCCTCCACCCCTCGTGCTTCCCCGCGGCTCCACCGTCTGTCGTCGGCGGGGCCTCAGTGACCGCACGCTCCGGACCAGCCCCGCAACCCGCTTCGCGAGCCCTCCGGTCCGGAAAAACCAAGAACCGGTCCTCGCACGCCCGACCGGGACCCCCTCCGCCGTCCTCCGGCCCCGCCCCCAGTGTCTCTCAGCCAATGGACAGTGAGGGGCGGCCTAGCCTCTTCGGGCCAATAAGCAGCGAGAGGCGGGGTCCCCGCGCCTTGCGAACCAGTAGAGTGCGGACAAAAGGCCGGCCGGAGCGGGGCGACAAGATGGCGGCTGCGGGGCCGGCTACGCGGCGCGTGGGCTTCGTGGGCGCGGGCCGCATGGCGGGGGCCATCGCGCAGGGCCTCATCAGAGCAGGTGGGGCGGCGCGGGGCTGGGCCTACGGCCTGGCGTGGGAGTAGCCCCGTGGGAGGTGTCCTGTCGCGAGAGTGGGGCCGGAGGCGCAAGCCCAGCCACTCGGGTCTCAGCGTCGCTGGGTGCAGCCGGAGTCACGCCTTTTTCCTCTTACTTTTTTGACGTGGCTGCGGGAAGATTTGAGTTACACGTGGCTAGGTGCCGCTTCCGTGGCCGGCTTCCTGGCAGCGTGGCCTTGGCCAGGCTCACCTCTTCCAGCCTCTGATGTTCTCTTTGCGCGCCAGCCCCTCTCCGAGCAGCAGGGCTTCTCTTCCAGACACCTTAGCTCTAGGGACACCTGGGCCAGACCATCCATCCTGTGCCAGTAGCACCCCCCACGTTGTGACAGCCAAAAAATGCCTCCAGACACTGCCGAATGTCCCCTGGGTGGCGGGAGGAGACAGGTAAAGTCATCCCCTGTTGAGAAACACTGCTTTATGGCCGTGATATTTATGCTGATCATATACTTCTCCAGGCATTTAGAAGCCTCTCTGCAGATTGTGGGTAGGGAGAGCTGGGTGACCCTTGGCTCTTTGCCTTCAGCCATACTTCAGGGTCCAGAAGAATCAAGATCCATCAGGAAATAGCTTACTGTGAGTTTTACCTGTGAAACCCGGCAGTACCTCATGCCTCCCAGAGCTGTACTGGTTAAATGAGACAATATGTCTAATGTTGAGCCTAGTACTGGTGTGTATGGCTGGCACTGTCATGATTAGTTTCTGTGTTTAGGTTGTAGTGTACACTTCTGTCTTCCTGTTCGACCTTACCAAAATCTAACCCAATCTCTCCACCCCTGTACCCCACAAAAGCAGATGATTTCTACCAAGTAGGCATTTAGCCTCTTCTTGGACATCCCAGCCAGACTCTCCCTCCCGAGGAACCTGGGCCCCCACTGGGCCTTCTGTGGCCAATCAGCTGCCTTTGTACCCACCACACTCCCCCAAGGCCTGGTGTTCCTCTTCTACTCCAGGCAACCTTCCCTTCCCTGGAGACAGAGGCCCCAGGGATCTGTGTCCTCACCAAAGAGGCCAGCTCCTGGCCTCCACACCCAGTAGCAGTCAGGGGCGTTGACTGCCAAGTAGAATCAATGGATATGATTGCCTGGGCCCAGTGAATGGTGCATCCCGCTTTGGGTTCCTGAGGCCAGGAGGGGGCCCATGATGGGCCTGGCGTGGCTGAGCCTGAGAGGACAGGTGAGCTCCTCCCTCTCCTCACTGCCGTCCTATCCCACCCCCTCACCAACCCCTCTTCCTTTTCCTTTCTTTCCAGGAAAAGTGGAAGCTCAGCACATAGTGGCCAGTGCACCAACAGACAGGAACTTATGTCACTTTCAAGTGAGCATAGAGCCCAGGTTCTTCATACCCTCCAGAGCCCAGGATAGCTCTTGACTCCTGTCCCACTAAGACACTTATTAGAGCCAGAGATGGGTGGTTTATTTAGCTGAAGTTTGGAGACTGGCTGGTCTGGGCTGGGGAAAGGGAGATGAAAGGAAGGTTGTGGAGGGTCAAAGTGTTTGTGTGTGTGTGTATGCGTGTGAGTGCATGCATGTGCACGTGTGTATATGTGAGTGCATGCTCACATGTGCGTTTGCATGTGTGTATGTCACTGCGTGTGTGTACGTGTGTGTGAGTGCATGCTCATCTTGAAGTACATGCATACTGCACCTGTGTGGTGGTAAGTGCATTCGTGTGCACGTATGTGCTCGTGTGTAGTGCACATGTGGCATGAAGTGCGTGCGTGTATACTGCGAGTGCATGCTCATGAGTGGGTGTGTGCTTACTGCATTATTGCTCGTGAGTGCATGCGTGTGTATGTGTGTGTGCTTATGAGTGCATGCATGTACACGTGTGTATGTGTCTGTGCTCGTGAGTACATGTGTCTTACTGCGTGTGTATATGTGAATACATGCTCGGAGTGCATGTGTGTGTGTACGTGTGCTTGTGAGTGCATGCATGTGCAGTGGCGCATGTAGTGCATGCTCATGTGCATTTGCACGTGTGGTATGTGTATGTCACTGCGTGTGTGTACGTGTGTGTGAGTGCATGCTCGCGAAGTACATGCATGTGCACCTGTGTGGTCGTGAGTGCATTCGTGTGCACGTATGTGCTTGTGTGTGTGCGTGCACATGTGTATGAGTGCGTGCGTGTGTACGAGTGCATGCCTGAGTGGAGTGTGTGTGTATGTGTGTGCTCGTGAGTGCATGCGTGTGTATGTGTGTGCTGAGTGCATGCATGTGCACGTGTGTATGTGTGCTCGTGAGTACATGTGTCTGCACGTGTGTATATGTGAATGCATGCTCGTGAGTGCATGTGTGTGTGTACGTGTGTGCTTGTGAGTGCATGCATGTGCA